CAAATTTCCTTATGCTAATGGCAAATTTCCTTTCTTCTCTTCAAGAAGAGCTTGAACGAACAAGGAGAGAACTGCAGCAAATGAAGGAACGAGAAACCGAGAAACTAATGATGGAGTTTGAGATCGAAGACGTTAAGATTGTCCCAGACTCGACAAAATTTGAAGTAAAAAAAACACAAACATCTAATGATGAAGGAACAGAGTTTCAAAAGAAGAGATACGTGACATTTGCTAATCCACTTTTAGCTCAAGTTATTGTTCCCCAAGGTGTCAAACAGCTCGAGAGACGCCCTTCACTAAGAAAGAAAAGGAAGAAGCCATTGATCCCTCTGATTGGAGGGATATTTTCCAAGAAAAAAGGAAGCCCAGAAATTGCATCACCACGAAGTCCCTGAATTACTTAATAGTTCGAACATAATACTTTCAGTTCAAACAATAATTATCAACTGAATTTACTTGTTCTTTTTGTGAAGTTCCATATTTCTTTCAATTTCTTTTGTATAAACTTCTAACAGCAGTACGCATAAACAGGCTATGGATGTTATACGAGAGAGTTATGTAATAAAGTTCTCTTTTGTAAATGTGTGCGACTTGACCTTTTGCAGTTTCTATTGGTCTAGACATGATTCTATTTCTATTGGTCTCTTTTAATCTCGCCCAGTTTTACTCATAATCTGACATACTTATTTGTACAAGTTCAAACACAAAGATGGAAGAGCTACTAACTGCTAAGCGGCTGGCTTTTGTAATTGTTAATTAGTGGATCAACACTACAATCAGCTTTCAATTAGTATGGCTTGTGTCCCTGTCTGGGGACAGGGAGGGCATAGGGCTACACATTTATGGATTTTGCAGCTACCATGGTTCCAAATAGTAGATCGTCCAGTCCAGAGGCCACATCAATTTGGTTTAGGGACCATTTTAATTAGTTACGAGAGACCGACAGCCCCAAATAGACATCATTCACCAGCCCCTTCCCCAGCCTCAGAGTCTAAGAATTGGTCCATCCTCTTTGATGCTTTACTTAGCACATAACATTTTACTTTTCCTGTACATAAACTCTTTTCATTTACTAGCTAAAAATCCCAATGATAAATAAAAAAAATGGCTAATAATCTTATCAGTTTCAAGAAAAAGGATCGATTTGAGAATTGAAAGCAAAGTACTTGATTTATTCATTTTCATCGACTTTTCTCAGTAGGAGGGGGAGGACTAAAGTGGGGGAATTTGCTGGACCTTCAAGTAGCCCTGTTGGCCCATTAAGGGAATCAAACAAACAAAACCATTTTCATGTGAAGATTATTCTCAATGCACGGAAAGAGAACAAATATTCCAAATTTCCAACGTTTCTTTCAATGGTAGATTCGTTAACCCAAGGAGGAAAAGACTATCACTTTAAAAAACTGCTATGTATTAATATAAAAAATTAAAAAAAAAAACTTCAACCCAATATTATAATTTGAACTTTTGATTAACAAAGCATATGATCAAACCAAAGCATCAGATTTTCGACCATCCAAAATCCCTTATTGTGATGACTTGTTGAAGAACTCAATGCAGTCAGCAATGGCCCCGGTGTAATGCGACTGGGACGAGTGATGAGCTGCATGAAGTCTTTGGTGGATCAAACCTGTCACACTTCTTTTGCTTGGTAGCCATACTTGACGTGCCAGAAGATCCACCAGAAGGAATAGAAAATAAGAGCCGCATAAGAATCTTGCGGAAACGGTTAAACAGCTTCATTGCGGAGAAGTTTAACTTGAGAGAGAGAGACCTGGATTGAGGTGTTTTTTCTTGGTGTATTTCACAACCTCTTACATGTATAACAAAGCTCTCTCTTTGAGGCCTGTACATTGTAAATTTGTAGTAATGGTATTTCCTCTTTCTCTTTGTTTTTGCTTGCCAGATGCCCTCCGGGAAGTGTGATGCTATCATGTGTCATTTTGATTGTGAAGATATAAAAAGGGCAAGGTTTTCAAAAGGATGTGTTTATTCTATATATGTTGGACCCTCAAAGTGCATATTGAGAAGTAAAAAGAAGTTGGCAAAGACCATGTGCCCAAATCATTTGTATTGGGCTTCACTTGTCCTCGCTATATTTTGTTTATTCCAGTTTCCTGGATTGATTTGATTATCTTCAATTACAAGCAGTAGTCCAGGAAAAATAACACCAGGCACTGGTTAATCAACTTTTGATTTATAATGCTCTAATTGATAAGATGGCCACGTGTGTATTGCGATTGTCTACTATGAATGATATGAAGTAATTTAAGCCACTCCATGCTTGATGCACTTGGAAAGTTTAAAAGGCAAAGGATTACAAGTGCTGATGAATGATTATCAGTGACCCTCATTGTCCCATAAAAAAAAAACAGCTTAAAAGGATATTTAACCTATGAACAAATGAAAATTTGTGGGGCCTATATAGAAGGAATCAAACTCATACTTGAATAATACTGTCCCTGCCAAAGTATCGATGAAGTACTTGAAATCCATCATTAAAAGTTTAACCTTATTTCCATCTGATCTTTTCTCAATTCTGATTTCTACCCAAAGAGGTGGCGCCAGACATGCAAAAATTCTAGTATGTTTTCATGTTCTTTGGCGGCCTTATTTACAAGCTATGATCATTCATTGATTAGGCAAGTGTGTAAAGCTAAACAACTAAATCTGCTGATGAGATTTTCAGCCAATTTAAGGCAAAGAATTTGTGGTCATAACAAGCTAAATTCATAGTTTACTTCTCCGTACATGGACCGATAACAACAATAAGTCCAAGAAAGAGGAGGGAAAGAAAACCCAATTTCGAAAGAGTGAACCATGATGGGATTGAGAATAGTTCAGATGACATCATTAAGAGTGGTGGAGGCTTAGGATAATGATTTGGTTAAGACAAACATGATTGTGTCTCGTACTTACATTCTTAAACCAAGAAGGGGGATAATCATAAGGTTTACCACATTGCTGTGTTAAAAGTTTTATTACCAATTGACAAGATGAAGACTAGTTTTTTCCCTTGTATGTTGGGCTTAATAATTATCTTGTTAATTGATCACATTGAACAAATTCTGCTATACCTTCCTATCCCTCCAACAAAGCAGAAAAAAAAAAGGACGAAGATTGAATACCACAAAAGAAAAAAAGGCTATTGGACCTCTAAGGAGCCTAGCTACCTGGGTCCTGTTGCCTTTGAAGGACCTGAACTCAGGTTTTGGGGACTCAATTCTGGTCAAGATTTGGTAGGCCTAGCCTGATAGAATGGATCTACTGTAATATTGATGAAATGGCGTCATTAACTAACGTGTTTCTAGTTTCAACTCTTTGGATTCCTCCTCAAACATCAGGATTTTTTTTTTTTTTTGGCTAGTAACATCAGGATTCAGGATGTTGGGAAAAAGGCAAAAAAGCTTTTATCTTGTGTAAAGGAACAGCTTTATGTTAATGTTGCACAAATATGACAAGTGAAACAGGATTGAAATTTTAAAAGTTAAAATCATACCCTTGATGATGGCTCATATATTATATACTGCCAGTACTCTAGCCTTTGCCCTATGTGTATCAGAAAAAAGTTACTTTAACTCAGCTCGCTCTGTAATATTAGAAGGCAGAAAAAGTAATCCAAGTAAACAAACTATGTTGTAGGGTAGGGAATGCATCAAATTCTCAGGAATGGGATTGGGAAGCTCGTGCAGCAAGGTGCAGAAATTTAGTTAAAAGATGCCTAATCATTCGTCTAAATCAGAGCTGAAACTTCAACAACAATAAACTTCTAAAGCATACCAGATAAAGGAAGCACTCTGGTTAAATTTACAGCTTTAAATGAGCCTGACAATAAAAAGAAAGACTCGTATCCAGCAGCTTAATTTCCTCTTGTCTATGATAAAGGGATAATTTGAAGTACTTAAAAACAACAAACTTCTTCAGCCTGCTTTCCTTCTTTAGAATGTTGAATAATGATGATTTTTCCATAGCAGTATCTGAATTCAAAATATATAACTTTAAAACATACGTGTTACACCTGTTTATCAACATATAATGGAAAATTCAATCTAATAATTCCAAATCATAAGGTCGGTTATCTGTTTGAGTTTTATATCAGCTGCAAGCAATAACAAAACTAGAATAGATGCTGCAGGCGAGCAAAATCTACAGTTGAGCAAATGACCTGATCAATGATTGCTTTCACCAACAACTTTGATTAGGAGCCATGGCCAATCATCTACCTGTCAATGCTTACTAATCACTACTTAAAATTACCTCAAAGTGAAATCTTAGTTATTTGCAAATCAGGTTGAAGTTAAATTTGATTTGACTGTAGGAAAGTTAATGACATGAGCATGGGGTCACCCAAATTAAAATATAGTTTTAATGAGCAAGATTTTCATTAATCTCACCAGAGACTAGATTAATTAATAGGTAGGATGATTTTGGGAAGCCGACTCCTTGTTATAATTAAAGTCAAATTACAATATAAAATCCAAACACTTCAAACAAGAACAAGCAATGAATGTGCATATGCTCGAGCATGTGTCTGCAATTATAATCTGTACACTGTACTTTTGTTGTAAAATCCATCTTCCTGCGGGCTTCAACCAGGCCGTGTCCTTTTTCCAAATCATTGTTTAGCTGCAAGGTCAAAGTCCATCAAGATCCCACATTTTTTTTCTTTCACTTTGCAATTATTCCAAGATAATCTCACGTGTCTTAATAATGCTGCTCCAACTCCCTTCAAAATCATCCATCCCCATTCAACGTAATTTCAACTTTCAAGTACAAAAACATTTCTCACCCAAAAAATGACCATACTTTGGACAATTTACACCGGAGTTTGATAGTTTTAATAACTTCAATTGATTAAATATGCTAAGGGAGTGGCCTAGAACTGTCTGACTTGGAATTTATTTCTGATACCAGTAATCAACCAAGAAAAGCACAGTTTTATAGGTGAGTGAATTAAGACAGTGAAAGCCGAAAGGTGCCCATTGAAGATGAAACCGTTGTTTTGTCTATTTATTACAGACCGTGTCTGTCTGCGTCATAAACGAGCAATCAATGATTTCAGTGTCTTTAAAACTGAGCTAAAGTTTGTTTTGATCAAAGTAACATAGGTTTTAGTACAATTCTATTAAAAATTTACACACAATCGATGTGGGATACGAAGAGATTAACCGTCCGAATTGAGCCAAAGCTTACCAAGAAAATTAAATTTTTATGTAACTATCAAATTTTTAACTTCAAAGGAGTCAAGATTCAACCGCTTTGTAGATGACTACGAAACAAGGAAGGATAGCACTTGGATTAAAGACAAGCAACTCCTCCAGATTGGAGTAGACCCCGTCGTACGTGGCTAGAGAATCGTACGAGCCAGCCGATACGCTGCTATTATCCTCCTCCAACGGCGCATTATCCGTCACTCGCTTCACCCTTCCCGCGATCACGCGACAAACCAGCATGGCTCTACGCCCGTCCGTACATTTAATTGAGTCATGGGCCCTACCGCTACTAGCCGTAGTGCGGACCCCTTTGAATTGTGCGGTCCCGGCTCCACCTTTGGTTTGGAACCCGTGTCTGACTACGGAGCAGACGCCGCAATCCGGGATCGAGCCGCACAAGCTGGACGAGCCACGCGCGCCGAGGTTGCACGATAAGGTTGTGCAGTGGAAACGGAGGAGCTCGTTGCCGTCAGCTGCGCACCTAGGGTTCTTTCTGGTGCTATTAAGAGCACGTGTCTTCACTGCGTCGCGGCAATCCTCGAAGCGTTGGATGGTGCGTTGGGTGTTGTGGACTTTCAATATCCGTTCGATCTTACAGATAGGATTGTCCTTCTTTAACCAGCTTGATTTGAAGATAATTTCCACAATGTTTCGGCCCGAATCTTCTGGGCCCAACTCCGAAACTACACCAGCAAAGAATAATCAAATCAAATTTTCAAAAAACTTTATTTTCTATTAATGGGAAATATTAATTTGACTTGTCGGTGGGCTGTGCAAATTTAGCGTCATAGGTGGGTACAACATGCACCAATCTAAAGGTGCCACGTCATTTATCAGAGTCAGTCTTTGCCTCCTATATTTATCAAAGGGACAGCTGTGATTTTTAACAACATCATTTATATGGAATGGGAGGTGTTTGCCAATGCAAGATTTACCGCGTTTTAATGACTGATTAGTCAAATTTGCAAAGTGAAAAAAGTAGAATGAAATAATTGGTAAAACCATTTGACTGTAATAGTACTTTTTGTTTTCTTTTGCATAATAGAATTTGTAACTTTAGATTAATTTGAGTTTAGATATTAAGACAAAAGGAGCCCCACAAGCGACAATTACCTTTCATATACATATAATCCAATCAATGGATATTAAAAGCTAAAAAACCATCCATGCCATAAAGTAAAATGAAACATTTTTCATGACTAAACTATATAATATATAGTAGTAATTTCCTTCTTAAAAAAATTACTGTCCAATAATTCAAGAAAAATATAGTGTCTTAAGGACTAAAATTAGAAGATAATTAGTTTAAGAGTTAGTACTTACCTGCATGGCGAACAGCTTGATGAAGCTCCAAGCTTTCAATCTTTGGGAAGATCTCGCCGCACTGTGAGCAGGCACAGATAGTTGTTCTTGAGGATGGATACCTGATAATTTTCCTTTTATCAGCTTATTCATTATTTTATATTCTGTTAAAGAACGAAGCAAAATTTAATGGAAAAATAAGAAAATAAAATTAGGTTTCGAGTATATATATATATATATATATGAATGTATATACCTGCTGGGGTCAACGATCATATGACACTCATAACACCCAGAAAGTTTCCTGAATTGCATAGCTCTTGATGAAGATGACGTCGTGTACGTTGTGCTAGTGTTGGATCTTGTTGACCCTGACGACGACCGAGTTGACGAGCCATTTGAGGCTTTGTGTCTCAGTAACCAAGTTTCTTGACCCAATGTGCTACTCTCAGGTGACTTATCAGCCCTGTGAACAACCCTTGTGTTGCCATGAACAACGTCCCTGAAGCTGCAGATAGAGTTGCAAGAGGAACCAAGCTTTGAGTGAGGGTTGCTATTCTTTGAAGGGTCCTGTACTTTCGACACTTCCATCTGTTTGCAAGTGAGCAAGTTCTTGATTTGGTCCCAAGAAGACGGTTGCGCCTTTTGCTTTTTCTGCTTTCTCCTGCTCTTGGTCAACGGTTGTTGTTTCATGGGCCCTGCCGCCGGCTCCGGTAAGAAAGTGTGTAAAGCCATAAAAAACAAAGCAAGCAGATAATATCAAAATATAACAGTAACAGATTTAGCTCTCTCTTTCATTAAAGAAAGGAGCTTTTGAAAAACTTGAAGACAGAGTTATTTTTTGTGAGCAAATGGAGAGGGATCCGAAATGGGTAATAAGGAGGTAAAGTGAGGATGGTGGGAGTGGGGTCGCATTTATGTTTCTTCACTTCTTGATTTAACTCTCTTCTCAGCTAATATAAATCCCTATGTGACAGTTGAACCGTTGATTGTGGACTGGGTCAATGGAAAAGTAGTTTCATCAAACGGCTCACCACTGTTTGAGTGTATTGGGCCTTGGCCGGAGTAATTGTCTTGGTACTTTCTGTTATTCATTGGGCATGCACTAATTTTTGCACCACCTAGTTTTATTCTTTATTCTTGTTTTCTCTTTTAAAGGATTGTATATGAAATTCACAGATTATGTAATTTTGAGTAGGGTATTTAATTTTATTTATTTCTCTAATGTCCAAGACGTGGAGTACCTTGACAATATTAAAACAAAAAGGAGAAAAGGAAGGAGGACAATTAGGTTAGTTAAGGCAACATAATCATGGAGAAACGGGGCCAGATTCCAAAAGTTTACAAAAGAAAAAAGAGCATGAGCCAAAGAGAACATCATATAAGACACGCAGAAAGAATAGGAACTCCCTGTGCCAACCGCAATTTCCGTCTTCCTAGCCATTGCGACGCACTAAAATCCAACAATCGCAGATGGGGTACGTAACTTAACGTCTTGAGTCATGACCCCCTAGTGACTTAGCTAGCCTCAAGTCCAGACATGCCTCACAACCTGGCTGTAGGGCTCACAATTTGACTGGCTCAAGTGAAGATTAGCCTGCAATACAGGTAATGCGGGGCTCAGCCGGATATTAGAATGTAAGGGCTTTTACACGATGAAGTTTAAGCTTTGACTAGTTGACCATCCATTTCACCTTCTAATTAAAAAGATGAAGCCTTGTGGTTGTATGAAATGAAACCACCCATTTCAGCCACAAAGAAAATGGTTTGAGCATCCAAACAAAGCTACACATATCAGCGGGAATCAAGATACTGTTCCAATAGAGGAGACTAGCAGCGCATCTGTTTACTGTAATGGGGAAAACAATGAAGCATCTTTTCCGAGAGTTGTTGGAACTCAGATACAGATTTGGCCAACCATTCGCTCCAAAAAAAAAAAAAGCAGCAATAGAGACGAAAAGCTGTGTCCCCGTGTCTTGAGCCACTGTGGGAACCATATCACTTCTTATCTAATCCATTATAGAACCACTAATAAAGAAAACAGACACTAAACAAACTAACAAATCCCACATAAAAGTAATTAAGAAAAGAATGATTCCTTGCCACTACAACTGAAAAACTATTACATTATTTTACATTGCCAAAAAAAAAAAAATTAACCAATCCAAATATTTCCTCCCAAGCTTCACTTTAAAAAAAAAAAAAATTGTGACCACAAAATAATTTACAATTATGGGAAGGGAACCAAATCTCAATTATTATATTGGGTAGCAATGAGAAGTTTCCATGTATGTTCTACACATGTTATTATATGTCTCGTACAAGTAATGGCGAAGGGGGTTTTTTCTGGCCGAGCAAAGGCTATAATGGTAGGGATTCTAGCACAAAAACCCATGTGCAACTCGGGGTTTACTTGGCTCATATTAGTTGGCCGACCATGTTCCCGTATAACCGCAATTGGACATGGATAAAACTAAAACAAAATCTAAAACTCTAAGTTACAAGGTTGGCTGTTGCCGTGATGTTTCATGGAGAAATAACTCAATACTGTTTACATAGACTAGAAGCTGACCTAACAGATGATCACATATCATGTGCTTTTTCGAGTCCTTCGGAGCTTGATACCCCTTTGAAATAGTTCAACAGCTACGAAAGTTGGGCTGTAAAGAAACTGGGTAGGCTTCAATTGGTATTAGCCCAATCTCAAAACTGATAAAATGGGTCTGTTCTAAGCCCATTTGGACTTGTTTGGGTTATAATTTGGGCTCCTCCAAAGATGCAGATCCAACATCAACAAGCATCGTGTTCTACAAAACCAAAATTTTTAGTAAACTGAAGTTCTTTCACAATTTGTTTTGTAAATTTTAATTCTTTATCCTATAATTCTTAAGACCGATATTATAAGAGCAAATAAAGGATCCAACGAACCGCAGAATTAAATTTTAATTTTAATTTAAATTTGACTGACTTGCTTCAATTTTATCCATCTTTAGCAGATTGATGATGATTTATAAAAAACAGTGCATTCAAGAATTTAATTCAAGTGGTTAATTCAGGATAAGTATCAAATTTAAGATGAAAATTGGATTAAATGCCCAATAGTGAAAAACAAAAGGCCCAAAATATGTCAAATAGAAATGGATTTAAAAGCCCAAGGAAAACCCAAAATACCTCACTTTCGTCCAATAGGGAATCAGAGAAAAAAAAAAATGCTGTATTGTCTCTCTTGCAATCTTTTCAGTGTCCTTCTGTCCTCTGTTTTAGGGTTTACGATGAACTGGTAACAATCTCTTTCATTCACATTTTCTTTAACAATCTGAATATCCACTGGGTTCCCTGAAGATCGTGGAGTCAGGTAAGAAATTGCAGTTTCATGGGCATTATTATTTTCTGTTTAATTTCAGCTCATATCTGTATGGATACTGATAAATCAAATTGAGGGGCTTCGGTTTGATGTAACTGAGCTTTATGCTGAAAACTGCGAGGCAGAACACATTTTTTTTGGGTGAATTGGTGTTTGATGAATGATTTTATCTGGGTTTACATGTAATTTGATTTTACAAATGATTATTCTAATCCAAGTTAATTACCATTTCTTAACGGCTAAGGCACCACCATTTTATTTGTCAATGTGAAGCAGTATGTTTTGAGATTGTTTCTGGCAAGCACCTTAAGCAATGAATTGAAATTTCATTGCTTTATCAATAAGGTAGTTTGTAATATTCACGCTGATTGAAGTTCTATTCAATTTCAGTGTGTATTGTAGTTGTAGATGGATACTGAGGCAGGTCAACCAAAACAGGAGCGCTCAAGAACAAGGTGGACGGCCTCCCTTGATAGGATATTTGCGGACTTGGTAGTGAAGCAAATTCAATTGGGAAACAGGCCCAACAATGTTTTTGACAAGAAAACATGGAATAACATACGGGATGAATTCAACAAGCAAACAGATCTCAACTTCAATAACAATCAGTTGAGAAAGCACCTGGATGTTCTGCGAACACGCTTCTATAACATCAAATCAGCTTATGATCAAAATGACTTTGCTGGCATGGAGGACTCCTGTTGCATCGGGTTTGACCTGTGGGAAGACATTGGGGTAAATTTGCTTTCTCAATTTGCTGAATGTTTGTTTCTGCCACTTTTATTTTCTGTTCCTGAGAGATTGTGTTTACAGGCACAGCCTAGGCCTGAGCCAGTCAAAATCAAGGACTGTGCCATCTATGAGCAACTATGCACAATATTCACTGATTCATCTGCTGATGGAAAATATGCCCAATCAAGCCACTTTGAGGGATTGGACAAAGCTGTTGGAAATGATAACGGTTGTTTAACTTCATGTCCAGAGGGAGGATCCACCAATCCTGATAATCCATCAACCTCAATATTAGCCCAAAACAATTCATTGTCAGAAAAGTTGACTAAGAGTATTTCAGAGAAAAAAAGAAAACGACCATCCGAGACACAATCTTCTTTGGATCAAAGCAGAAAGATTGAAGAAATGTCGGAGGCTATGGCAGGAGCCATGTTAGATATGCTTGCTGCTTGGAGGTCGAGGAGGACAACTGCCTCAAAACGAAGCGATGACAAATTTAGCATAACTAATAGCATTAAAGCATTGGATGAGATAGAAGACATGGAAGAGTGGCTCTATTTTGCAGCTCTTGACCTATTTGAAGATCCCAACTTAAGAGAAACCTTTATCTCTCTAAAAGATGGCAAGATTAGGTTGACATGGTTGCAAGGGAAGTGTGGGAAACCTGCAACGACCTCTGTCTAAGTTAGAGGCCAAATCATTGGCTTTTTTGGAAGTGTAAAGATCTTTACTGCAATCATTTTATTTTGGGGGTCTATTTTTTCTTCATACGTTGGCTACATAGTATTGATAGATGAGATGTTCTAGTTATGGGGTTACCAATGTGCAAAGGCTCTTGTATTTATTGCAAATAGTGGAATCGTGCTTTTACATTGGCTGGGCTAACTGAATGCGTTTAGTTCTTGCATTTTCAAAGGAGACTGCTCTCTCTCTAACTTGCTGACTCTAAACACAAACTAGCCGTTAGTACATTCATGTTGTTACTGGTGTCGTTTGAATATTCTGGTGGCCCCCTGTTCCAAGAAAGGGAGAGAAGCGGCCGTCAACTCTAATTGGTTGTGAGCTCACCAAAAGGCATGCATTTATCAATAAGCTTATCAGAGTCAAGAAGCAGCTGAACGATGGATTCTCTTCTTTCCATGAAAGCAACTAAATAGAAAGGAAACGTCATTTGGATAAAATAGAAGAAAAAGCTTCCGCGAGTTTAGATGTCTTCTTAATGATAAAAAAGTAGTAAAACAATTACTACAAACATAGCCTAAGCCAGGGCTGCTGCTGCTTCCGCCTGTATCTCAATTGCTTCGACCTTATTAAGATCACTAACCAAACATAATTCTAAGATTGTTAACACCCCCACCTAACAACGGAGAAACTTCATTATTGTTGTCCAGCAGCCCCAAGTGGCATGAACTGTACATTTTTATGCTGTAGCATAAACAGAATAGGCAAGGTCAATTGGATATTGATTAGCAACAACTGAGGGGCCAAGGAGAGGGGAAAACAAGTGTGAAACTGAAAACCCACAGTGAGATGATGTCCAATCAACACGTCATACTAGCACGAATGATGCTTGTTTCCAATAGTCATCAAGCACCACGAACAACATTGGTTGAGACACTGATCGTAATTCTTTGATTGACAATCTCCTCACTGAGAAAACAATTATACCTGCTCCAAAACTAGCAAGTTGTTCTACTAATAAAGCACATCAGAAAGTATAAAATGTGATAGCAAATAGAAGGAGAAAAAATTTACGGTAAATAGAAAAAATGATTTTACAGATCTTTTTGTAAATTTTTTTGGCAAATCTATCCAGTTTATGTTAATCACCATGCGAGTATAGTCCAAAATCGTTGCCCTTGCTTCTTGTAGGATTTCAGTCGTCATCTTTGAATTCCCTGTTGAAAACGGAACACAGAATCCTTCAAACAATTGTACTCTGGCTTTTAATTTCCTTGATATGGGCATTTTAACAATGTCATAAAAACACTTCTGAAGCAAAACTAGAAGCTGTTTTGGCTATGCCTGAGCACCCATTTTCGTTCATATTGACAGATAATGAATTATGATCCCCATTACCCAATTACTAATAAGGCTGAGTATATATACCTGCGATCAAGATAACGAGGTTGAATCCCACTACCTTGGCAAGTAGTGCATGTTAAAGAACCAACTCCTTCGCAGTTAATGCATTTTGAGACTTCTTTCTCTTCCCCGCCAAGCTCTACACTTATGGTGCCACTTCCCATGCAAAATCTACACCTCTCTGCACCATCATAAAAATTTTTAATTACCCAATTAACACAACATTCCCTTTTAACCATAACTGGAATTTTGAATTAGAATATGTAACAAATCATTGACAAGTTTGCATTAATCAAGAAATCTTTAAATTATCAAACGAGATGAGACACCAAAAACTATAATTATTGGCAATACTCCAAACTTTGAAATTTCTCTTGATTTTTATTACTTAAATTGTTACAGTAGAGAATGAATTACGTACGGGCACCGGTGCCATTGCAAGGGAAGCATGGTTGGGTATTTTCTCGCTTTGCCTGCAAAACAAATTGACCCCATTTTCTGTTTTCAAACTTCAATCCGAGAAAAGCTACTACATTATCAAAATATGGATTCATATTAAAGAAAAAAAGAATTTACAGCGTTATCGATTTGAGTCTCGTAGAAAACTGGAATGCCAATCCCGATGGCAACACTGGCAATCCCAACCGACACTGCTACTATCTGAAAAAAGCTTTCTCCATGTTACTTTATTGATAGAAAGTTATTCAAAAATTAAGCACATATATCATTGGGAACTAGTTAAGTATAGAGGAAGAACTGTGTTCTGATCAAGATCAACTGCTCTGATGCATGGATAAGACGCTGGCGACTGTTGATTTCTCCCACATTTGAAGGACAAAGATTGAGTGGAAGTGGAGAGCTTGAGTGGACAGCAAAGAAATGGAGAGTGAAGACGAGGGAGTGATGGAGCTATTGACATTATGCACTTTGGGAATGAGGATTCAAAGGAAATTAAAGCAAGAGTCAAATTCGAGCGCCAAGAATCGAACCTGGCAATGGCAATGGCAATGGTAGTGTTAATTGTGGGGTTGGCATTAAGCCATCAATATCAACCATCAGACACGGACAGTTGTAGGATTTTGCATATCCACGTGCCGTTTTCTACTGCTTCCTTTCGAGTTTCGACTTCAAATTTTTGAGGCCATGGTTCGAGCCCGGTTAGATTATTTTGGGTTTTGACAACCCAGAGTTAGTCCAACCCTCACCCACTTCCGGAGTCTAAATTTCTGAGCCGATGAGAGATTCATTGGCCCAATATATTAGACCCATCTGGCTTTGGAATGAAATGTGATTCATTGTATGTCAAGTATAATCCTCCTCTCATCTGAGACTCCTCGAATGTGCTTCGGTCATGGAATCCTATATATATATAATAAAAAAATTATTAAATAATATTAATTATCATTTCAAATTAATTAAAATTAATAAAATTTTAAAAATAAAGATAAAAAATATTTTATTCTTTTCATACTTTATTCGTTGACGTCCCGACTTTAAAACAACAATGGCCATGGTGTTCAGTTGCACCATGCCAATATCTAATGGAGAGTAAAGGAAAGAGAGAGAAGTGCGTGGGTTTGAGTTTGAGAGCGACATCCCACCAAAAAGACATAATTAGGCCAAGCTGTTGAATGAAGTCTATTCTGGCTCATTGTTCCATGATGCCATGGACCGGTTCTTCCTACCAGTATGCCACAAACTCATCGCAGCCTCTTTTTTTTTTTTTTTTTTTTTTCATTTCGTCTTGTTTTGGTTTTGGCCATGCACTGTTTCACTGCAGCAATTGGAAAATCCTTCCCCACCACATGCCTCCCCTTTTCCCATCATCTCTCTTTGGCAACCTCCTTTTTTCGTTGCTTCTAATTTACACAAAACACACCAGGGAGGAATGGATATATTCACGTCCTTTACGTGAGACAGGTCCAAAGCATTAATTCATATCATCATTTTTGTTTTGAGACTAGTCTAAAATATTCTAAATACCATACTTCATTCAGTTATAACGATCGCCAATACATATTCTCATGTAACAAGAAATAAATACATAAAGGTGCGAAAAAGACTTATTTGATATTTTTTAAGAAAAATTTGTGAAAATTTCAACTAAAAATAATAAAATCAAATCAAAAATTAAAATTGATAGATTAAAAAATCTCGTTACATAAATTAAATATACAAATTTTGAAAAAGTTTTAATAAATTTGATATATATTTTTAGATAGATATTTTTAATAAAAATATTGACAGAATTTTTACTGTTAAATAAGTATCGATCAAATTTGAATTTTAAATAATATTTTTAATATATTTTTTAAAATATTATTGATTTTCATATTAAACTCTACCAATTAATTAGTTTAATTTTTTTATTAAATTTTTTATTAAATTATTTTTTAAAAAATAATTTCATAAATTTTACCTAAAAATTTCATATATATTTTCTCCTAAAACAATCATGCATCTAATCATGTCATTTTTGTATATTGCAATATGATCTCTTCCTCAAATAATTTTAAAAACACATATTTACATTAATTTGATATATTCAAAATTTTATTCTCTGAGTATTTGTCATAAAAATCAAATCTTACCAATCTAACAAAAAAAAAATAATAATCTCTCTTGATAGTGTTTCTAACCAAATCATACTATAACGTAAAAAAATAACATATTTAACTACAACAATTATGACAAATAATTAAGACCCAAAACGTGTATATAATATAAATACTACTACATTTTACATTTCACGCTTATGGGTTTTGACTATAACAAAGAAGGTGGGCATTAACGTTGTAGATATGGTTAACGCAATGCCTTGAAAATATATAGGTCATTATTAATAGTCTTAAAACACATAATTATTTGTGCCGTATTACTTTCTAATACCGGCCATAACTAGAATGGACCCCGACGGGACGCTTCAAAAATTTTTTGGACTCAAAAAGCAATTGAGGTTGCTTGGCAGCCCTTCGTAATCTTGTTAGAGGTATTTTAAGATCCAAAAGATAAAATGAATCCTTCACCCTAAAATACAAATAACTTATTATATAGGGATAATTTGATCAATTTAATCGAATTGATGTCAGGTAAATATAAATTTTTTAGTTTCATATCAATTTATGTGTCTCAATTAATTATATGTTGACATATAAAAATATTGATTTGTCATCTTTCGATTGATTTATTGATTATCAGCTCAATTTAAGTTTATGATTTTAATCTTAACTTCGTTACTTGGGAGCTTAGTCTATCTAGACATAATATTTTCATGTACAAATATAAATATCTCATTCAAGTACTTTTAAACCAATTAAAATTATAATTTCCAAATCTACTTTCTTTTTTTCCTTTTTTTTTCACTTTCTAGTGGAGTATTGACTTGAACATTCAAATACAAATATCAAAAAAACTTTTAACCCTTATCATTGATCGATCTCCCTCCCTTGATAGTTCGATATCAACACAGTTGTTAGTCAAAGGTCATTCTCACATTGGATTAACAGTTATCCCTTCAAATTCACAAGATGGTGTAGTGAAACATAAATTGTTAATTGACATTAACATAAAATATTGGTAAGATCTAAAATTAACCAGTGTCATAAACATAGTATAATTGTACGATAAAACACATAATTATTGATCATTCGTAGTGTTTTAACAAGTTGCATGGACCTAGGAAAAAAATATTATAGTAAATAAATGATTAAGTAGGCGCAATCTTTTAGAATCGGATATAAAAATAGCAAGATTCTTTCTAGGACGCCATGCATTGTCCATGTGGAGTAACGACATACCACTCTCAAAGCGATAATGAAGAAAAAAAAAAAAGGTTACGACAGTGGGACAACAATAAAAAGGAGAATAAAATTTTTTAAAAATTGTAAATGAATTAAATATGAATGAATTTTGATATATTTATAATTTATTTGTTTAATTAATAAATTTTAAAATACTAATTATGATTATTTATTAAATTTAATAAAATAAATAAATAAAAAATTTGTTAATTAATTGTTCGTCGAGTATTCAGTTTGTCTTACACTCTGATTATGAACAAATTTTATTACATTCATAATTTATATATTTAATTAATAAATTTTTAAATATTATTTATGATTATTTTTTAAAATTAATAAATAAATAAAATTCGAATATATACGTTCTTACCTTACAAGCAACAAGATTTGGCAAACCTTGCCTACAAATAATAATTTTAATTATCTAAAAATACTCTAAAATATTATCTATATTTGTTAAATTTAATAAATAAATATAAATAAACAAAAATTGAATATTCTTATAAATTATTCGTTGAATTTTTTGTTCATTTATATTTTTAGTTAATTAACTATGACATATTTTGCTTACTAATCATAATTTCAATTACTTATCAACAAGCATTTAACATAATGATATTGGATTCGATTTGAAACTAAAATCTTTTGTTTAAATTTAAATTAAATTAAAAAATAAAATGTAAAATAATTTTAATTAATATTGATTAAAAATTTTCATAAAAATTAGTAGTAATAAATCTTTGCTCGTTATCCATAACGATCACCTACTTTACCCATTAATTTAGCTACCGATTCTTCCTCTTTTCACTTTTTCCTAATTCATTCTTACCCTCTTCACAATATTAGCCTTCCTTCGAAGGGTATAATAGAACATTTACTTGGAATAGTTGACTACGTTTAAAACGTTAGAGAGAGAAGCGATACTCTACAAACCAGCAAATCCTACATCTCGGACTCTTTTTAAACCCAGCAGGAGGTGAGCCGTCCATGTTGAATCAAAGGGTCATTATTAACAAAAACTGAAACATCCCAGTGTGCTTAACTACAGAAAGATATTTTCTCGTTAAATTTACCCAAATTAAAAAACCGGGTTAAAACCTAAAATAAATCCGGACGTAAGGGAATTTGAATAAGGAACGACACAAAAGACTGTAATGCGATCACTCTCTCTCTCTCTCTTTTAATTTTTTTTTTTTAAATTTTTCTCTCAAAAGTCTTCTGCTCTCTCTGGCGCACTCACCGCTACCGCCGACTTTGTAACGGTTAGCCGTCGTGTTTTGGCGGCGCCGATTTTACCCGCTCGCCGGCGATCTTCTCCAAAACTCGTCTGTTATTTTGAAATCCTCTACTCTCTCTCGCTTCCGTGCTTTGGATTAACTCTCATTTCCGGTTTTAATAGTGCTTTGCTTTTGTTTGCTTCGTCTTATTGAAAATACTCTTTGTAAGGTACCTATGGCTCTTCCAATCTCTACTATTTTTGGCGATTGATTCCGCAACCACTGGAGTCAAAACTTCATCTGGCATTACATTGTTGATAACGATATTTTTTTGGAATTTTTAAATCGTTTTTATTCTCATTTTCTAGGTTTCCTGTATATGATTTTCGTCATTTTGTTATTTATTTATTTATTGAACTCGATAATGTGTGTGTTTCTCTCGGATGATAACTTCGTTTTCACTGCTTCTCGGTGCGATTTATTGGATAATTTTTCAAAATGTACGGTTCCATACAGTACCGTAGATTTTTGGTAGCTAATTAGTGTTTAATACTTAGTATGTTGTTTGATATAACTTGCGTAGTAAGGTAAGTTTGGGAGTTGATTAGATGAATCATTGTGGTTTTTGAACTTATAAGATTACGTTACTCTTACTCCCCTGTTTGGTTGCTCAGAAAACTGAGGATAAATGGATATTCCTAGCAGGTTTTATGTTGTTTTCATTTTCATATCTGAAAATTCTTGCTCAACTAAAGAGTATTTCCATAAGCGGTTAAAAGGATCTCGATCCTTAAGTCCCCAAAGGGAGGGTTAGAATTTTAGACCCTTTTAGTATCTTTTTTCCGCTTTGAATTATGGGGCCAAGAAATTTTTTAAGTTTTAATTCGATTAGGCCTTGTATCACTAGGATTTATGAATATTTGGGTTGAGAGAACTGAAATAATTTCTCTTCTTTTGTAGTTTATTAAGGAAAGAGTTAAAGAGAGAAGAGGAGAAACTTGGGTAACAATTTCTCTCTAGGTTTTCTTTTGAAAAGATTTGGAGATGGGATTAAATAATCTCTTCAGGAATATTGTTAAGGATAAAGAGGCTGATATTCTGCTTTAATTAATTTATGTGTTATTTTATGTTATGTAGGCATATGGTTAGAGAGTGTTGTATGCTGCTTGGTTAAATGAGTATAGACTGTTCTTATTTTCTGGGATTTATAATATTGATTTTGTTACTGAATTTTAACTTCAGGAAGTAGTTTCTTTCATCAAGAAGTAAACAAAATGATTGGATCCTTTCTTACCCGAGGACTGGTGTATGTTTTACATTATGACTGATTCTATTTTTCTCATTTGGGTTTTATGTATTCTTTTACATTAAATTAATCCTTTTGCTTTTAAATTTTTTGGCAGGATGGCTTTTGGCTATGCTTATCCAGCATATGAATGTTATAAAACTGTTGAAATGAATAAGCCTGAGATTGAGCAACTGCGGTTTTGGTGCCAGTATTGGTAGGTCTTGAACTGCTAGTTTTTTCCGTTTAAGATTGTGGAAATATTATTAATTTTGTAACTTTTCTTTTTTCCTCCCTTTTCCTGTATGGTTGCAGGATATTGGTGGCTGTTTTGACGGTTTGTGAGAGAATTGTTGATGCTTTTATATCGTGGTAGGGAATCATAAAACAGAAAGGTCGTTTTCATGTCTGTTTTTTCTTTTCTCACTGTGCCCTCCTTTGGCTTTTTGAAGGGTTCCAATGTACAGTGAAGCTAAGTTGGCATTCTTTATATATTTGTGGTACCCCAAAACAAGGGTAGGTGTATTCCTTTTAAAGACTTAACATCATTTACTTGTCCATCTACATGTTGATGTTTGTTTTAATTGCCCCTCTGTTTTCACTTATTTCAGGGAACTTCTTATGTGTATGACTCTTTCTTTAGACCATATGTTGCCAAGCATGAAAATGAAATTGACCGTAACTTGTTGGAACTAAGGACTAGAGCTGGAGATATGGCAGTTCTTTACTGGCAAAAAGCTGCAAGCTATGGTCAGACAAGAATTTTTGAGATCCTGCAGTATGTTGCTTCACAGTCAACCCCAAGACCTCACCATGCTCAGGTAGTTATCAAATTAAAGACAATTATAGTTTGTGCTGCCATTACCAACTCAATGTACATTGTAGACAACTGACTTAGTTCGGTGAAGCTGCGTTGACTGGAATTTTCTGATCAATATGTGAAACATGAAACAGGTTGTTTTAGATAGTGGCGTCTTACTATCATGCATTAAACTGTCTGTCAAGATGTAATGTTTGAATATTGATCGAAATGTCTATAATAATTGAAAAGTAATTAATCTTTGCTAAATTTTATTTTTTGTACTGGTTTATCTTTGGCTATACATGATTCAATCATCTTGAAGTTTATTTCTCTTTTCTCCATAACTTCTGAATTCACAGGCACAAGGTGCTACGGCTCGCCAACCATCTGATGTGCAAAACCTGCAATCATCTAGTAAAGCACAAGCAGCACAACCAGAGGCTGAAGAACCGCCATCACCGACATCTAGCACATCTTCCAGTCAACACCAAAAGGAAGTAGCTGAAGAGGTGGGACCTTCGAAGGCGCCTTCACAAGTGGCTAAACCAGCCAACCCTTCAGCACCCTCAAATAGCCAAAAAGCAGATACTGCATCTGAAAGTACCTGTCAGCCTGCAGAAACTGAAGCGGAAGCAATGGAAACTGAACAGGTGCCACCTTCTCCTGGGAATGAAAGCACAAACCCTCCCCCAAAAGACACTCTTATGGAAGAAAGCATTCGACTCACACGTGGCAGATTGAGGAAAGCCCGTTCCGCAGCCTATTAAAAATAATGGTATTAAATATGTTTTTTTAGTTTGAGGAAAGCACCTAAATCAGCAGGTGTATAATGGTATTGAATCATTGTTGTCGACGTTGATGTATATTTCGTGTCTTCTGCTTTCTATTTCATTTGTTGCTTATTTTTTACAAATAAACTGAATCTTTGGGGCCAATTGATTCAACCCTCAAATTGCTTGGATGATAACGTCTCTCCATCTCCATGTTGGGGAGATTTTACATGCACCGTTAACATGATGCTTTTTGGTACCCACTTGTCGAATTGTTTGGGAGTTAGTGAAAGAGTGAACTAACAAAAAGGATTAGGGATGGAAGAATCCTTGGCAAGAAACTTTGCTGTGCAGCAGATGCATTGTTCTCCTTTGGGTCAGAAGCTTTAATTAAAAAGAATTTAAGTTACCCAAATCTGATCAAAATGGACTTTATGGGAAACTGTCGCAGATTAATTCCAACAAAATTAAAGTTAGGTTACAAAAAACTGTAACTAATCTTCACCGTAAGACAGTCAGGTGAAAGCACGTGACTTTGTACATGCATAAAAAAAATTGCTCAACTTCCAACTGTTCAGTTACAATTTTCTTTCTCTATGCTTTTGTTCCCTTTCTGTTATTCGTTTCCTCATTTCCGTCCTTTTTGGGCTTGAAGGAAACTGTATAAACGGAGGGGTTATGTCCAAAGTTGACGCAGCCTTCTTAGCCCAAAGATGACCCATGAAATGAAAAGCGGCCATTCTTAGCCCAAAGTTTTGCTTGTTTGTCCCCAATAGTTTCCAATGTGAAAGCAGTTTCGGCCTTAGATTAGATGTCGAAGAAGCGAGACTGTCAGAATAAGAAAATCCCTTCCAATTATGCTTAGTTAACAGAAAATGTCCTAGAGAGAACTTTTCCATGATTTCTATCCCATTTATCAGCACATCACAAACGTAAGCAAAAAGTGACATTTTATCAGTCTTTTTTTTTTATTGGCCAGAATTACAGTCTAATATTAACAAATATATATATATATTTTTTCAAATAGAGCAGCGCCATACAATAAAAGAGATGAGAATTGAACTCCAATGTCTTTTTAAAGATTTTTTTATCATTAAATCAAAAAATCGAAGATAATATTAATAAATAATTAGCATTCAAATAACTGGTTTAATGATTCTTGTTTATCATTATCATTATACAAGAATCAATTAATTCCTTATCTTTCTTACATATCAGCGTATGTGTGTGAATTATAAGCCTCTGACTTGCCTAATGTCAACTGATTTTAATAAATTTTTCAGTATTCATGAAAAAAATACGTAAAGACATGGACAATAGAGACAGAGAGGATCTTCAGCTCAAGAAATCCTTGTCCCGTCGGCCCAAAAGTTGACATGGACACTTCATCTAGATCATGACGGAGCACTGACTCGTGAAAGGGCCAATTTAGCCACCGACTGAAACCTATGAACCCACTTACCTGATCACAGTTAAAACAAGATCAACAGTCATTCTCGTACACGGGTTCTCGAGTTAGCCAGTTCATCAAACATTGGTCCCCATGAAAATCATCCTTTCAACTTGGGACAGTTGGACAGTTGGACGCGATTAGTCGCCGCCCGATCAAAACTAAGGGGCATATCCGTCATTGAAACATCAATAAAACAATGCGTTACGGGCAAAAACAAAATTATGTTATGATATGCCGCTTAAAATTCTAGTGTCGGTGCGTCCTCTGTCCTGTAAGAAGTCACAACTTAAATTTATGAATCTGACGAGGACCGGTCTTTTGCTGATTGGGCACCAGATCGAGCGACCCTTTTCCTTAATTGCTTGTTTTAAACTAATCAGCCCTGTTTCCAACCGCATTTCCCTCACAGTAATTTCAGAGACATTCAGCTCTACAGATCTTCTTTTTCTCCCGGGGAAATCCCATATTCTTTTTTCCTTTTCTTTTTCCTAGCACATTGAACCCGTTTTAAACCCTGCATTTCTCTTTAACATATCCATTGTCCAATGCGCTTGTTTTGATCTAGATCTTAGGTTCAAGATCTGTGATTTGGGTGATTTTGAAGTGATAAAAGAATGGGGAAAGAATCGAAGTCGAGAGGATGTTTGGGTTGGTTCCTGGCTATAGCAATATTGGCTCTGGTTGTGGGAGCCGTTGTTTATACAATCAAGAAGAAAATGGATCACTCAAATGATGATAAGCCTGCTCCCGTTCCAGGTCCTCCAGGCGCCATTGACAAGAAGTATGCTGATGCTCTCAAAATCGCAATGCAATTCTTTGACGTTCAAAAATGTACCTTTTTTTTCCTTACCCTCATTCACTCTATATATATTTTTTCTCTGTTTGCGCTTAAACACTTGTTCTCTTTGTTCGAAATTTGCTTTCTCTGAGGATAGCCTTTAACATATGGACCCAGATTTGAAGCAGCTTGATGTTTAGTTTTAGTTTAGTTACTTAAAACAAATGGTTTCTTCATTAAATCTTTCAATTGGGTAACTTTTTACTAGGCTTTATGAAATTGCAATGATTATTATTAGCAATTTTAATACTACTTAAGTTTGTTTTTTTTTTTTTTTTTTGGTAAATATTTGAGGTGGGATAGTTGCTTCTTTCTTTTGCAGCTGGTAAGTTAGTGGATAATAAGATATCATGGAGAGGAGATTCGGCGCTTAAGGATGGAAGTGAAGCACAGTTGGATCTTTCCAAGGGGATGTATGATGCTGGGGATCACATGAAATTTGGTTTTCCATTGGCATTTACAGCTACAGTGTTATCATGGGCTATCCTTGAGTATGGAGATCAGATGGAGGCAGTGAATCAACTGGAACCTGCTCAAGAATCTCTCAAGTGGATAACGGATTACCTTATAAATGCTCATCCTTCGGAAAACGTGCTCTTTATTCAGGTTATCATTGTCCTTAACTACCATATACTTTTTTGGATTGTGTGTGTATGTACATTAGTGATTGTGCAAGTTCATTTAAATTGTTTTTGTTTTTTTCGTCTTGCCTTAGAAATTTACATTCTGACTTATTACAATGCCTAGGGGCTTTGACCAAAGGTAGCAATTGTTAAGGATCTGGAATATCTTGAAGTTTAGCAAATGGTTCTAAGTCTCTAACTTATCGCTTGGTATTTCTGATGTTGTCTTGATTGGTTGTTTGGAAATATGACATCAATTACTTTGTCATAATGAGCAAGCTAGTGTTCATAGTCTCATTTTACTAAGTGAGAAACCTTGTGCCACTTCTGTAGTTATTTTGCGAAAGATAATTGATTTGGAATCTAAGATGGTGTGACCTAATAGATAATTGCACAATCCTTTAAAAAAAGCCTCTGAAATGTATATTAACTTTTACCTTTTCACCTCCAATACCGAGGCAGGTGGGTGATCCTGTAGCAGACCATAAATGTTGGGAAAGACCTGAGGTCATGAAAGAGAAGAGGCCTCTCACACAGGTGAACACATCTGTTCCAGGGACAGATGTTGCAGCTGAAACTGCTGCTGCTATGGCTTCAGCATCTCTGGTGTTTAAGACTGCTGACTCCACATATTCAAGAACACTTCTTAAGCATGCCAAGCAACTCTTTAATTTTGCAGACAAATATAGAGGTTCTTACAGTGAGAACATCCCAGAAGTTGCAACTTATTACAATTCAACAGGATATGGAGATGAGCTCTTATGGGCAGCAAGTTGGCTCTATCATGCAACAGGCGACCAATCATATCTTCAATATGTGACTGGGGAAAACGGGAAAGAGTTTGCTGACTGGGGAAGTCCAACCTGGTTTAGCTGGGATAATAAACTTGCAGGAACTCAGGTAAGGTTCTCTTTTAGAGTAATTTGAAGCGAGATGCTGTTCTCTCTTGTTTTATTGTTACCTTCACATAGACATGTCTCAAGCAATGTGATGACTGATATAAGAAAGCCCAAGTTCTCAATGTTTATGCAAATTTAATGAATTTTTGGGAAAATAGGCAACATTAACTTGAGTTCATTTAGTGCACAGCTTGTTTGAACTCCATGTGTTATTTGTTCATTTGTAAAGATGCAAAATTAAAGAGCTTTGTTGGAAGGTTTATTTGTCAGCATTTCCTTAACCTTAAAGCATTTAGGTTGAAGAATTTTTTAAGGAAATTCTCTGTCTATATTTAGTCCACATTTTTCATGGATGTTTAACATAATAGCAGACCACACTGGCGACATGGCCAACTGAAATTCAAGAAACATTGTTATATTCGTGACTTTACTTTTTCCACCTATTAATGCATTGATTTGTTGTGTAATGAAATGAGCATGATGACTAGACTGTTTCAGTTTTAATTCTTTTTTGCTAACCAGCCTAACCTGAATGCAACTATTGTAGGATATCTGGACTCTTTTGTCAGATTGCCCATGTTGACCTGCCTCTGCATCATTTTAATTTTCTCTTAATTGATATCATCAGAACCAGGAATTTTGCATAGTATTATTCTGTTTTTTGTTAATTTAGTGGCTGATTATGCTAAATCTATGCAGGTTTTGCTTTCCAGGTTAAGTTTCTTTGGCACCAAAGTTGCCTCGGGGAATTCTGGCCTTGAAAACTATAGGAAGTCTGCTGAGGATGTTATGTGCAGCCTTCTACCAAAGTCTCCCTCTGCCACATCCAGCAGAACAGATGGTAATGTCTTTTTTAAAGCTAAGGGACTTGGATGCATATTTGTCCTATGTAGATATTGAATAACAAAAAGAAAAGATTCAAAGAAAGTTCCTTATCAAATCAAAAGATTTTAGACTAATAAATCAACCTAGTAATTGATGCACCCTGTGCCTCAAAAGGCATTGTAATGGATCGAGTCACAAATTGTGTTCCTTGAGCTGCCTGTTGAGACAGCTAGAAAGTTGGAAAGAGAAACAGGAGAAATTTAAGCAGTAAAAGTTGTCTTGAATTAGATATCCGGTATATCTAGTTTACCAATTTTCTATCCTGATTTTAGACTGTAAATACTACTGCCAGAGCGCTTTTTCTTTTAGGGGGATTGCATATGCTCTCAGGTGAATAAAACCATTTGCAAACTGAATTAGCTGTTCTGATTCATTGGATCTCTTTTGTTTACCAATATAGTCTTTCTGGTGCAGGTGGTATTATATGGGTCAGTGAATGGAATGCTCTGCAGCATCCTGTTGCTTCTGCATTTTTAGCTGTTCTCTACAGTGATTACATGCTTACGTCACAAACTCCAAAGCTAACTTGTGGTGGCAATTCATTCAAACCATCAGCTCTTAGAAAGTTTGCCAAATCACAGGTATGCTGTTTACATTTATGAGAAACATTTTGCATAAATGACACAGCTAAAGATTAGAAATATTCCTTGTAAAAGTGTCATTCCCGCGTAATAATAGGACTATAATAATCTTTGCTTCCAGGCTGATTATGTCTTAGGCAGTAACCCCTTGAAAATGAGCTTTCTTGTGGGGTATGGGGATAAATACCCACAATATGTGCATCATAGAGGAGCTTCAATTCCAACTGATGCAACTACTGGTTGCACTGATGGCTTCAAGTGGCTTGATTCAACTGAACCCAATCCTAATGTAGCTATTGGAGGTCTTGTGGGTGGGCCTTTCCTAAATGAAACATACATCGATTCCCGGAACAACTCAATGCAAGCAGAGCCAACCACATATAACAGTGCCGTCATTGTTGGCCTTCTCTCAAGTTTGGTGACTACCTCTTCTGCAGTTAAATCCTTCACCTAAAAGTAGCCATCGTGTTGTAACCAATTACACATGTTTTGTACCATATGAGCTGTATCAATACCATGATTTCCTGCAAAATTTAGTGTTTAAGTAGTTTGTTCTACACGGGTGAACTCAGATGTGGTTCCTCTCCACTGAGTTTTTTGGTGTATTTTGGAGGTATAGCCTTGTATATGTATCTTTTTTTTTTCAACTGGTTATTATGTGAGTTAAATTCCCTCAATGTTTCAATTATATTTCTTAGTCTGTTTGGTACATAATCCTCAGGCCTGAGTTAGTCCATTCACTTTTTCCAAAAGTACGATTGACTTCCACATGACAAAATCAACTTCAATCTTATACAAAGCAACGCGAAAACAGGCGAGACAGTGTTATAACAAAGGAAATGCGAATGGGGTTCCCTCCTTTTGGATCAAAATGACAGTTCAAGTCGTAAGCAGAATGGCCAAATGCCCTACTCACATGAAAGCCATTTACCTGTCAACAGCGCAGGTCCGAAAGGTTCTTATCTACCGACAGGCATCAAAAGCTAACCATCGCCCAAAATTCTTAGGGGATGGTCCACTTAGTCTCCAGTATCCAGTCTCCACCATTGCTTTCTCTCACCCTTTTGTACATGGAGCTCGGTCAAGAACAGGTGTCCGCTACCTTTTTCTCCAGTGCCCATTCGAAATCACGAACATGGCCTTTGTTTTGACTCCCAACCCCCACTGTCCTTCCCACCCCTATTTACTCTTTTGAAAACAACCAATCATGAACCAATGTCAGCCTAACATCTTTGCTCTTGCACGCCCCATCATTAACATTTCAGTCATGCAATGTTTGCTACTAACTTCCACACTGAAAAAAAATAGAAAAGATCACCTTTTAATTTGATTGCAAGCACCTGCATGCCTTTAATAGGTATCCAAGTACTGCTCAAGGCATACATTGCTAAATTAAGATAAAGGAATATCGATATAGAATGAAACAGCAAAACTTGCATGTTCTCAATTTCAATTCCATTGTAGGTTAATTTCAAACTGAATAGAAAGGTACTGGAAGTTGAGGAAATATTCTTTGATGGATATTTCTGTTTTTTCTTCTTCTGCTGGCTCTTCCCTGTCGATCCCTATCAACCTCTTTTGTGTAACAACCCATCATTTCAAGGAAGGGAAAACAATAATAAAATATATAGAATTAGCAATCACTGACTTTGGAAGTTCAAAAAGTCACTGACATTGTTTGTCCTGGTCAGATTCTAATTAAACCAAAGGAAAACGAAGAATAATACTAATAACAACAAACAAAATCGAATTCACAGCTGAATAAAAGAAACTGTAGCTATGGTGGCACTTGTCTTCGGAGCTTCCATCTACAAGGTTGTTGTTGTGTATTGAGTAAGAATCTATAGTCATAAATTGTCCATCGAGTGTGAATGAAATGTTATAAGAGGTCAACGAGCAATGTCTGATTTTGCTGTGAAACCCAATTGTTGCTCCATTTCCCAGCTTAACTTGGGGCCCACCCCCGAATGTATAGGTTCATACTCCTAGTCAAAAGTTCATATAAAAAAAAAAATGAATGGACGGCTCAGATTATTTGACTTCATTTGACTATTAATCAGAAGTAATGCTTGTGTGCCAGGTGGAGTGATGGTATTGACTAGGGAAGATTTGAAAAATGTACCTCGAGCTTGCACATGAGTTCTTGGGCAGTTTGGGCAGAGACAATTATGTCACGAGCAGCTGGTGCTATGAAACCTTCATCAACAGCCTTGTCAATGAACGATAAGAGCGAGTTGTAGTACCCGTCAACGTTCAACAATCCCACCTAGTTTTTCCCAAACAAGAAAGAAAAAAGAAACCCCTTTATTTCTACAATTTTAGGGTGTCAATTAAGATATATATATATATATATATATATACACACATACATACATGCACGTTTCTTGCATGTGAATCTCGGAATAAATGTGTTTGATATATATATACTTCAATCAAATTAAACATGAATATAATGCTAGTTTGAACAGCTAGAAAAAAAAGAAAGTATATTACTGGTTTGTCATGGATTCCTAACTGAGCCCAAGCGATCACTTCCAGGAGTTCTTCCAAGGTTCCATAACCACCTGTGAGTTGAAATTTGATCAGATCAATTATTAGTAAAAGAAAAAGAAAAAAAAAAGTTGGTTGACAGTTATTCCTACAGTTATCTAGGAAATTGTAAAGTAGAAAAAGTCCTGTATGATTGAATCCAGATAGAAGAGTTTGGATTTTAGAACAAACAAAAAAGCAGGTAATTGCTGTAAAAGAAACAAACCTGGCAAGGCAATAAAGGCATCAGCTTGGCGAGCCATTTCAGCTTTACGTTGGTGCATTCCAGACACAGCTCTTACTTCTCCCACTGTCTCGCCTGTAATCTGAAAATTTTGCACTGGAGATTTAGCTTTCCAGCTATTATATCAATTCTCAAATGGCAGTGCTCAGATGAATATGAGCCTATCCTTATTTCCAACTGTACAAAAAAAAAAGGATAAATGCTGTTGATTTTAATGATTTGTACCTCTCTTGGCATGAGAGTCTTGGGAATTACTCTACAAGAAAAAAGATGCCATTAAAGGGTTAAAATTAGAGACTAAGTCAGAGCAGACCAGATATAAAGAGAGGGAGAGAGGGAGAGGATGAGTTACCCCAACACGTGGCGACCACCATCAAAGACAGTTTGCGAGACCAGCCCCATCAATCCAATGCTTCCTCCTCCATAAACCAAGTCAATGTTCCTTTCAACCTGTAACTCTTATTTTATTGTTAAACTTACGTGTTTAATTTAAACATATTCCTACAATCACTCCATTATCACATAAAGTATAATGACACTATTTTATTCGTTTCAGCCTTTCTAGTTTTACACATTAATTTTCTTCTGTTCAACTTCATCAACTGGATGATTCAAGTTTTAACCCAACCAAAAAGAGCAACCAGAGGATGACTTTGAACTTAGGTATCTGATCTCTTCTTTTCTCAAACCGGTAAAACTCTAGAGTTGTTATTAGAAAAGTAAAGAATAAAAACAGCTTTGCTTTCAGTCAATCCAAAGATGAAGAAGTCTCAATTCCTGTAAGCATTTTCCAGAAGTCTCACTACAATCAAAGTTCTTATATATAAATATCTCAAAAAGTTTGGATCACATATTCTTTTGAACTAGTTCAGTTTTGGTCAATGTAAAGGCCAAGAAGCATAAATACTTGGGCTAGATAAATCACATGAATGCCAATTAGACCTACTGAAGTACTGATAATTAATTCTAGGAAGAGATGAGGAATAAAAAATAGGCAAGTGAAAAAAGAAGTCTTTGTCTTCCTTTTTATGAAAAGGGTAAGAGGTTTTTGTACCAGTTGTTCGCCAAGCTGAATAGCAGCAAGCTGGTAGCTAGGATTCTTGCCAGGGCTGCTGCCACAAAAGACACAGACACTTCTGAATCTTGACTTCATGGAATTAGCTTGACGATGCAGCTGCTGTTGGAGGTGGTGGTGAAGGTGGGGTTGTTGATTTTCCATGAGAGGAAAGGCTTGAAACCACTATGTTGTTGCTTCAAATAGTGACTTTTCTTTTTCTTTAAGGTGTGAGAAAAGAACCCAAAAGGAATGTGTTTGTTGTGTTTGAGCAGTCAGCAATTTCTTGTAAAAAACCAAAGCCCAACAGTTACGGGGTAATGAAAATTGGTGTCATTGATCCCTTTTTTATATGAAATGAATGCCTCCATTGCCCCTACAATCCAACACATGACGTCTCTCTACTTCTCAGTTCATGATATATTCCCAAATGAATTTCACAACCGTAGCAAAGGTTGAGGTTGAGCTATCATTTTAATCCCTTGTTTTGTGGATTCAAGTACGCCTCAATTTGCGACTTCAAACTTGACCTCTATTCACGAGACACTCTCACATATTAATGGCTTCCTCAACCTCCGCACACTTATCTAAGATGATTAACCTCAACTACCACAAAATAGAATGTTAGATTCCAATTCTATTTTATTCTTTGAACTCTAATCAAAATGACTTGAATTATATCATACGTGTGAATAAATCTGAACACATATATATTCAAAGTTATTAAATTATAAATCAAGTTACATCAATCATAAAAATAATATTTTTTTATCATTTTTGTCACATTATAATGATCAATTTTTCATAAAAATATAAATTATCAAGTCAATATATTATTTATGTTCATTCGACGTTTCAAGATTTTATTAATTTAATATAAAAGCACATGTTAAAAAAACTTATTTAATAAACTTTTAATTAATATTGATTGGATAATGCTAGTTGAACAAATTAGTCTTAATTGAAATTATTCTTTTACAAAAAAAAAAAAAATGATGTGACAACACTTTATAGCAAGATGAAAGACAAAACGAGATAAACAAAATTAGAGCTCGACCACTTGCTTTTAAAAATCAAAATCTTTGGTGGATAAACAAGTTGGTAATCAACATTAGCATTTGATCTCACTTGGTGGTGTGGGGTTGGAGCCATTTGGAACTTAATCCTTGGAAGAATTGTGCAATGGGACATTAATGGATCAATAATTTTTGAGAGAGATATCACCTTTAGTGTAGCTTTGTACTCTTATTATAGTAACTGTCCCAAAAGATTGAGATTATATAATAGAGTTTATATTCGATATGTTATTAGTGTATAAATTTTATGTATTGTTAATAAATAAGATGATAATAATTTATTAATAAAGTAAATCAAATAATAACACATCATTAATAAATAAATTTTTAAAAAAATTTTAATTTATATATATTTATTTTAAAAATTAATATTTATTTATTAATAAAATATTATTATCTAATTCATTGACAATATGTTAAATATAAACTCTATATAATATATACCATACATCTTCATCGTTTTGCCCACTCTCAAAGCTCTCTCTCCTCTCCCATGTCAATGATTTTTTCAGACAAAAATTATGTGTTTGACAATAAAAACAGGCTGCATGCAATTAAGAGAGATGGGGTAACGATCAGAAAGTACAAAATGAGGCAATGAAAGAAACTGCAAATTGCAAATAGATTTGATCTTAGGGAAATAATATTTAAGAACGAGCGGAGGGGTGGAACACGTGATCCCATGAATTCTAGTCTGTCCCACTTGGGGAATTATATGATCAGAGAAGAAAGAAACTAAGGAAGGTTCTGAAAGTATATGCACATGTACTAACATGTACTAAGGAAGCCTTTGAGAAATCATCAGATGAGAGAGAGAGAGAGAGAGAGAGAGAGATATCATCATTCATCACAAGTTTAGAGATCTCTCATAGCTTCCTCAGTCTCTCTCTCTCTCTCGTACGATCTCCATTCATGGAGTTGGTACATTGGGAAGTTCAGATATGTGTGAAACAGCTGTATTGGTGGTTGTAACCTATGCTGTTGTCTCAGATTGGACATAGACTGGGCCTTCCCTTTCACTTCAACTGGATTTTCATCTACTTATCATTTATTTTCTAATTAATTAATTAATATAGTGCTTTTATGATAATAGCACAGCAACGTGATTTAAAGAAACGAAACAGGCAAATGGTGATTTGGAGAAAAATAATAATAAATAAAATAAAAATATTGTAGATAAACAATACCATAAAACCTTTGATATAAATTAGATAAACAAGTCAGCAGATGTCTGGAAGATTCTCATACAAAATGGGAGGTCATTAGGTTATTTCACTACAGCAAATTATAATGTTTAATTAATTGAATATTTTAACATGGATCCCCATATTCCCCTTCCAAGGTTGCTTCTCCATCTTGTACTTTGTCCAATGGGGTGAGCAGAGGTATATGCCTTTTAAACATAGAATTCCACAAGATTCCCTTATCGCATATAACTAACTGTTCCTTGGTTTCCAAAATTTGCCAGCAAACTAAAACCAAAATGAATAGGCCAAGCTATATCGAATCTTCAACCAAAACATTATTGCTGCTGACGTTATACAAAAAATGGTCCAGATGAACTCCATTAAACCACTGGGTCACAATCCCTAAGTGTAGCAAATTTTCAGACTCACCATCACACCTAGCTAGGACACTCACGAGCAAATGGATCAAAATTCCTTTTGTAACAAACTTCATTTCTTAACTTCGCGAACCACTAACCATAGAAAGTGTTTAAGTGCCCATCCATCTTCCAAGCTCTATTCCAGCTTAAATCAGTTTTTAACTCATATTCAAACATTGAAGTTCACTAGTGACTTCGTTAATGTAAAAGGGTTTGATAGAACTGCGCGAATGAAAACGATTACAACGATCAAATCCGACCATGCACCGAAATTCCTTTACCTTTTCTGTTAAGATTCAAACACTTATCCCTCAACCCTGGAACATGTCTTAATACATTAAGTAAACTTGTCTATGATAAAATTGTCAAAGAAAATCCATAGATAGAATCACAGGAATAAAATAATTATTGTTACTATCAAGTATCATGTCAATTTCTTGCTAATATACTTTGTATCTTTGACATAAGAACCAAAAGATCAAGTGTCGGTTTACTACAATCTCAATTTATTGGTATTTTTCCTATTCGTCAAATTATCAATTGTTAATAACTCTCGTAGAGCATTTATTACTGTGGATTTAATAGATGACAATATGTATGAAACATTGACTTTAACTTGTTCCTTCTTTATAAAACAATTATCTCTTTTGTCCTAATCAAATAAAAAAAGAGAAAATGAAAAAAAAGTGATTTTTTTTTAGATAGGAGATCGTTATGCAAAAGACAAAAGCAAATCAAATCGATTTTCATCACTTTATTTTAGTTTTTTTTAATAAATTTATATTTGATGTATTGTTAATATATAAATTTTATATATTGTTAGTGAATAATATGTAACATTTCGTTAGAGTAAGTTTTTTTTAAATTAAATTTTTAAATATTTATTTTAAAAATTATTATTTATTCATTAATGAAATGACATTATCTGATTCACTAATAGTACATAAAATTTATTTATTAATAATACATTAAATTTAAACTCTTTAAATAGTCATTTTAACAAGAGATAATCTACCAAGTAGAACAAGAATTATAGCTACTCGCTTATAAAGAATGGAGTCTATATTTCTAAATTCAAGTTTTCAAAATAAAAAAAGTGGGGGTGAGTGATGAGACTTGATAACAATTTTGTTGCTAATTGAATGTTGATTCCCCATTTCCAATTTTTTCTTTTCTTTTCTTTTCCTCCAAACATTTAAAAACCTTGTTGAATTCAATAGTTCTTATCCAATCAACATCCTTACGGCAATGCTTACCTAATTTGGCTGGTACTTTGCCTCGTGTTTACTCATTGGTCATTGGTCTTACCAAAAAATATTGTATTCCAAAGGGAAGGGGGTCATCGGATTAATTATCTCTTTGTTTTAATATTAATTTCCTTCATTTACCTCTCAATCTACCACTGTCCACCCACATTAGAAAAAGATTGTTTTCAGGTCATTTCCATAAAATGGGTTTTTGGATCTTTCTGACTTAGGATATTTTATTAATCAAAGTATTAATTAAGAACTATATTAGTGATTAAGACATGATTATTGGTTTTGTAGTGTGGTTTAGAAAAGAACGTATCTCCTGGCCTAACGGCTTTAATTTGATGCCTTGATCTTTTGGAAGGTGCAAGAAGAAATAACCTGACACGCCCTAAAGGATTGGCTTATTCTTTTAAATTAATAAGTTGGGTAAATGAGTGTTGCTGGTGAGACCAGGGCAAGCCACTGATAAAGTTTTTTTGGAATTTGTACGACCTCTTTACCTGTAATAAGATTCATGGCATTTTTCGGTTGACAAGGCAGTTATCTTCAAACAGCTATAATATCACTATAAAATACGGCATTGTCCATAAGACATGTCTGATTTCAATGACTGACTAAAACCTTCACCATGTATCACGGGTAATTAACAAAGTAAAGTTCTTTCATTCCTTTTCATTCATTTCTGCTAAAAATTTCCTGAAATTTTTAAAATGCTTAATTTTCAATATCATTATCAATCAAGTATTTATCCAAGCTTTCACGAGGTGATAATGATATACATTGATCCATGATCCATCATTCAGTATGACAAAAATATTAAACCTGAATGTTTGTCTTAAAAACAATATGTATTGTATCCATTTTTCTGAAATTATATCGTGATGAAATCAACATTGTGGATATTATTTGAAATTGACAAAGAAAGTTAACTATAATGGCTAATGATCTGAAATTTTGTCATTCTACATTCTCGATAATAGAAGGATTAGTGTACTAGTATAATTAATTTTTGTCTCGTCTTAAACTCTTATCCTAGCTATTGTTATCTTATAATGATGGAAATTTGCAGCAACTTGGTTAACTAATCCTTTGTCGATAATTTGGCAGCAAATACAGCCACAATTGTGAGGGTTCTATTATATTCTACATTAACTCATGATTGAAACTTGAAACATATTGCAATTTGCAACATGAACTACGTATATGAAGTATGAATATATGTGTCTTTGGTTGCAACTTATCAGACTCTTCTGCACTAAATGAAATGCTGTTAGGGAGAAGACATATATACTTGGTTGGCTTCATATCAACCAAGTCACCTCTAGATTTTAATTACAATTTGCTCTCTCATTAACACTTGGTTTATTAAACTGCCAAAAAAAATGGTGTAGTTAAA